CCTTCAAAGGATATTGTAGTGAATGAAATTCCCCCTTCTCGAACTGCATGTAAATTGCAAATTGCAAATTTTCAAATCCAACTGAAAGTCAAATTATAGTCCTATTTTTTTATATCTCTTTAACCAATCATTCACTACTGTTGTTGTCATTTATCATTTATCAATAATACAATTGGTTTTGATTTCGCTCTCTACTTTGACGCATTTCACACTGATTTCAGAAACACAGAATGAGTGACAAATGTTGCAAGTTTCTATCTGAATTTTTGTTGATCGTCAATAAAGCTAATAACCACATACATATGCAGAACAATCAAAACAGAAATGCAGACAATTCTTCTACAGGCAGGCGTAATTTATATTGACAATCAGAAGACGCGTTGTCTAACTTATAAACACTACGAGTCAATATTATATTTAAGACCTAATAATTATATTATTATTATATATGATTATTCGCTTGAGTTCAGAGTGGAACATAGGGCTTCCACAACAAATCTCCACTTTGTTCTATTTTCTACCATCCTCTTCAGCTGGCTAGCCACAGGACTGCCCACAATCTCTCGTCTCCTCCTCCTCCTCCGCGATGTCATTCGACGGCTTCCTCAATGTATACACGATCCATCTCCACTTTCTCCTACATATCTGTTGAGCAATCGGCTCGTGGTTGGTTTGTTCCCAGCCAGCCAGAGGTTCTTGTCGCTAATTCTTTCCGACCAGCCGGCTGGCCATTTGATGTTCATTATGGAGCTGGCGAAGGCAGCTGTTGATAGAAGTCTGTAACTGGCTGTCGGAAGTCCTTTTCGTGACATAGAAGGACCAACTTCACATTGGTGTTGAGAATGCGAATCTTGTTCCTTATGCTGAGTGACAGCGGAAGATTTCAAAACTGGTTTCAGGTTGATGAAGTCGTGTATATCTTGCCTTTCCGATTCTGACTGGCTTTGACATATCCGACCGTTCCGCCTGTAGTTGGAACGATGCTTCCTAGCCGGATAGGTGAAGGATGCAACCTCTGTTAAATCTCTCCCGTTGATGATGATTGTTGTTAGTTGTTGTTGCCGGTCCCAAGCCCGGCTAAGGAAGGAGAGTTGGGCGTGGGGCTAGCAACCCTACACCAAAAAAGCTATCCAACTGCTACACAAACTTAAACGCACAAAAAATATAAAAAACAAACTTATTCTTCGCTGAAATCGGAGAGGCGAAATTACACAACGGGCTGGTGAAAGCCTTCTGGAAGCCAGTCAGCTAGCCGATGTGTCTTCTCCAGATAAAAGCAAGAATAAGAATGGGGGACGTAGAATGTCTTTACAATGTACGAGACTGCGAAGGCTGCCCACGTAGCCAACGAAATGAGAAGATATGGCATAGAAGACCTAGTAATGGACAAGGTTTTTAGAATTGTTCTATTTCTTCATATGAATACCTTAAATGTTAATGCTTTCATGCAGTAAACTAATTAAAAACTCGGTATGCTATGAGTCCATCTGAAGACGAACTCCATTGGCATAATTCTGGATTCAGCAAAACACAACAGAGCATTCTGAAATAATAATAATAATGATAATAATATAGCAGTAACAACCTTATATATTTCTCAACACAACCATTAATTTCAAGTTATTTAAAGCAAAGACTCACTTGACGATGAATTAGATGCAACTTCTGAAAAAAATGGTGCAGAAACAGAATGTCTTAAAGGAACACAAGGTTGAGCAATTAACACATTAGAGCAATTTGTCCCGATAACCATATCAGAATATACTTGTACATCTTTTGGCAAATTTGATCCGGAGGAAAATACTGAGGTGCACATGCCTAAAGGTTTAGTGTGCGGTAGCAGTGATGTCTCGAAATCTTGGAAATTGACACGCATCAGTTGTTGCTCATGATTTACCATAAGTGTTTGTTGTAGGCCTAATTCCTGTTGAAGGCAAGAATCTGGATTTTGAAAGAAGGCTTTTGTTTGTATGATATCATGATGACTCGATGGTTGACAGGACTCATTTAAATCCGTTTTGATTTCTTCATCGTTTGGCACAACGTAGTCAGGAAAATATTTTACTAATATTTCATGGCGATAAGGATTTAACAACCGCATTAACTGCATTTTAGAACCAACACGAGGTAGATTCCTCTCCTTGCACTCACCTTTAAGTTGAGCAAGTGTAAGGTGAGTTAAACTTGGTGAGCTGAAATTTAAATCTAATGATGGAACTTTTGATGTGTTAGTCCGCAAGCCATTTGAAACAGGTTGAGCAACTTGCATTGATATTAAGTTGGATTTATAGGGAAGTGCTGGTTGACTATCTGTTTGATCATCGAGGGATACATCCGATGTGAAATCTACAGAAACATCGTCTTTTGGTGGTGGTTTCTCGCATGCTATACCCACGCGCTGACACAGTTCTTGTTCAACCAACCGATGAGCACGCGCCGTATCCTGCAGACGTAACATTTCAGCCTGTTGTAATTCCCGAACTCTTTGTTTCTGCTGAAATGATGAGACATTTGAGAGGCTAGGAGAAGATGAACTCGAAGAGTCCGGACAGTACTGATGAAAGACTAATGATCCTAGTTTGGAAACAACTGTGTCATCCCGAATCGCCCGACTACTGGATGACTTGCTTGAGCTGTTTAGACGACTTCTCCCGGAAGCAACGCGACCAGAATTATTATGCACCTTTGTACTCAGTGAAAGTGGAGGTGGTGGTGGTATATTAATTAATTCTTGAATAGGTTGAAGTCGATCACTTGAAATCCTATCTGAAAAAGTTGGCTCGACTCTAGGATATTGAATAGAGCCTTGTCTGATAAGTGAGTCAACTCCAGGGTCCACCTAGTGTTGGAAAAAGTTGAGAAAACAAAGGAACTATAAACCAAAATAGAAAGTGGAAGTAACTGAGCAGTGACAATGACGACTCTTATAAAAAGGAAAACCTTACCCACTTGCAGGATATATTAGACACTATATCTCTTTTTTATTGTTGGTGGGTAAATTTAACAATACTTAAAATACCTTTAACGCGTAAAATACCAACAGATTTGTGTTAACATAATACTGCAGTTGGTTTGTCTATCGCCATATAAGACGACACGGATTTGAAGCAGTTTTATATCTTCAGGTTCGTAGAAACGTAAAACCGACTAGCATTGTAACAACAGAAGACAAGAGCCAGGTAACAGATCATTTATTACGGAAAATCAACACATATTTATAGATTTTGATGTACATTATTGTAGGTTAATGTTAGCAGAAAATACAGTCTGTTGATTGGTTGTTTCTCACACAAAGTTAACCTTGCATCTCTTGTGGCTGTGTCCGTTCATCTATATGTTAACTGTATCCGCCTGTCCATCTTGACCTTTAACCTCAATTACTGTCAACCAATTTGGCTAGCAACCATCTCTCACCACACTCGTCCCCCGTCAAAGACTTGCGACTGAAGTTGGTTTGGTCTTCTCGGTTCTTGGGGCTTTGCTCTTTTGTGTTGCTGTCTGCAATCTCGGCGCTTGTAGATGTTCACCTGTTTCTCTGTGTTTACCATTGCGATTGTGTCTGCGTAACCCCATCTCAACGTGACCATATGTGGTCCTTCCCATTTTGGAAACTGTTTGCCTGACTCTGTCACACATTCGTCGGTATTTCACCTCACACTTTAATATGCTGCTTTCTCCCGACCTCACAGCAGCGTCCCAAGTAGCAGCTTCATCGCTGACAGATCTTGAACGCCACTCAACTGCACAGAAGCCTCGAATTCCTGCCCGAATATCCATATATCTCCATCAAAAACTGCAGGGCATAGGCTTTCCATTTGTCGGTAGGCAGCGACACCAAATGTAACAACAGAAGACAAGGACCAGGCAACAGATCATTTATTACGGAAAATCAACACGTATTTATAGATTTTGATGTACATTATTGTAGGTTAATGTTAGTAGAAAATACAGTCTGCTGATTGGTTGTTTTTCACGCAAAGTTAACCTTGCATCTCTTGTGGTTGTGTCAGTTCATCTATATGTTAACTGTATCCACCTGTCCATCTTGACCTTTGACCTCAATTAATGTCAACCAATTTGGCTAGCAACCATCTCTCACCACAGCATGTTTCGATAGACATACCTGCAATTCCATATACACCACTTACCGTTTGATGACTAATTCACAAATACAATCCAATTCCTAAAATGCTAAAATTACTAGCTACGATATCCAGCAAAGCAGGTTTGGATCTCGTAGAGAATATGATTCTTCTCAAAGTTGCGAGTAAATGCCAATCAGTGTTAAAAATAATGAAACCTAGGTGAGGATCTACCTGAAAACTAATTAACATTCAATGTACAGAGCTGTGAAATCTTGGCTGAATATTTTGCTGAAGAACATAATAAGCTTTTAACGTTATTAATTATGCAGAACTGCTGATGGTCACACAAATTGGATTTTTCAATAACAAGATAATAATAATAATTATATCCGCATAACTATTTTTGAGAAAGAATGAATCCAATTTTTATATACAGAGTGTCTAACAGCATTGAAATGTTGGAGATATGCAAGCCAAAAGCATTTTCTAATCCGGTGATATATCAATCGAAATTTAAATGGTATAGTTGCACAGAAGTGTAAGCAGTTTGCTGCTGTATAAATTTATGTTGGTCTTAAGCTTACATAATGAAATAATGCACTGAGCGAATGAACTTATCGATCTATTGGGTTAAATATAGCCACTTTGTAACATTACTATTCTTCCTGGTGTATATTTCTACTTGTCATAATTATTTTGGATTTCTTTGTTTTCTTTTCTCTACCTTTGTGTGCTATTTGGATCTGAACCCCTGCACTTCTGTGCAAAATCCTATGTTGAAACTTATTCAGACCTTATGGTAGGAAACCTAAACGATTTTTTAATTAAAGTACATTGTCAGACAAAAGATATCATAGTGGTAATGACGATAGACGAGCATTATTATTCACCCGCCCTATAATTATATTAAGTTACCTGGAGAACACCTTTTTCAACCAGCTCCAAAGAACCAGGTCGGGAGATTAGCTTGGTAGCGAGTGTTTCCTTCAACTGTGACTTCTCTAAATTGTGACACTGTTCAAGTATGAAAGGTGAAGTGCCCGGTTTATCATCTATAGTAATAAATTATGGTGTGGAAAACCTTACCTCGTAAAATATGATGACTGATAAGGTACTGCCTATCTGGTCTTTGTTCAATTTTTCTTTTTAACAAATCGCTGGTCTACAAAAAAGCACTAAAGAAAAGAACACTTTAAAAAAAACCTTGGCTCTTTGTAACTGCCGAACTTTGTCAGGATGGGAAATTGAAGCTATAATGAAATAAAAGTTGTATACATTGGTAAAACGTACGATTTAACAATATCCCCTGATTGACTAACTCCTTTACCGAACGTCTGGATTTAAGACTTTTTTCGAGAGCTATGAATAATACAGAAGCTTTATTGATTAAAGTTCACTTACCTTCTTTGTTTTTAGTCCGATTGAGTTGCAAAGAAGAGACTTCGGTAGAAGCCTGAGGGCTTCCTGACTTACGGTAGACCTGATCTGTAGGCATAACTAAAAATATAAAATTGATAAGTTGTTAATTTCGGTGAATGATAGGGTCGGGACTCACTAACATCACAATCAAGTTGAACAATACTATACACCGTGGATGTCAATGGTGACTACTCACAAAACGAACCAAAAAAACTTATACACCTCTTAGTATTTCTAAATACTAACTGAGCGGTAACCACAAGAGATTTAAACAGCTTGAACACTTATACATGAGAGAAACTAGGATAATAAAAACTTCCGTAAAAAAGGAAACAATGAACTACAATTAAGCAAGAGTCAATAAATAGTCAGAAATTTCCTAACGGTGGCGAGTTGGTTGTCCAAGGGTGACTTGGAGGAGGTCATGTGAAGAGATGAAAACGTGTGGGCAGACTTGAAGCCAGGTGAAGACTCTAGAAGAGAACCGAACGCAATGGAGATGCACGGCTGAAGCCCTGTGTTCCTCTAGGAATTAAAGGAAATAATAATAATTTCTTAACGATTCTGAACTCTTCCTACCACGTCTCACAAGGATGAACTTAATACATTTGACCCTGGTTATCATAAAGGATGTTATCAGATTGATTCGCTTACCAGGAATGAGAAAAAATCACCTCTAAAGAGCTTATAACACTTGTACAGACAAAGCGAACTGTTCTTTAGGGAATAACATGTGACAGAAATATACAGTCTACTGGATGACACAGAAGTGTGAGATGACCTTAGAATACACAATACGACTATGGGACATTACTACCAATACTTTATTACTGAATTTACTGCTAACCATAATGACTAGTATGCTTGAGTAACCTTTAAAAGATTAGTTCTACTCACGGATATGAATATTAACAGTTTTCGTGTTCTCCTGTTAAGTAACAAATGATGCTGTAGATAGAACTGTTGAACTTGACGATAAAGTTGATTAAGAATGGAAAGTATAATGATTTGAGAAGCATGAGCATACATGAACAATAAGCAGTGCAGTAAGTACTTGTTTTAAGAAAAACATTTGAAGGTCAACAGAATAATTTAGCACTATAAGTCGATCAGCTGGAAACAGAAATGTTTCTGAGGCCTACTTTTTACAAAACCTGGGAGGAAAACCAACGGAGTTAATAGTTCGGCAAACGTCACGGCCGAATTAAGTAGCCACAAAGTTACTTAGCATCCTTCAGTCATAAAAGGCATATAGCGATGCGACTCAAATTAAACCAAAGTAAACTGTAATAGGAAGTAGTTCTATATCACATTCCAGCAACCACCATAAAATTCGTGGCCGTTTCAGATGCCATGGATAGGTACCGAGATTAACGACTGTGTTTTGTTACATCAATTGATTCATTACCGCTGCAATCACTACATTTTCTAACAAACCCTGTTCCCACGAAGCTATTATCTTTAGGATCACAGAACAAACCAAAAACGAAACATATTTGCCCTGATCTTATTACAGACTGAAATATAAATAACTCGAAGCAACAACTATAGCAACAGTAGCAACTAACTTAACTCGGCTACAGGCTTAAAAACACATAACGGAGAAATCACGATCTTGCGGGAAGATCAAGAGCAAATATGTTTGATTTAGAAGTAAACGCAATTTTATAATCAGTGGTTAAAATGAGGAACTAATTCGTTAAACATACCCGCAAGAAAATACCAAACAAAACGACTAGAGATTCACAGAACACCCGTCATGGTTTGTCATTCCCTCAAACAATACCATTCAATATCCAATACCTGGAATATTGTTAGGGTGAACATTAGTTTATGTTTGATAAATGCCTCAACCACGAATTTCTCCGATGAAATTCAGGCGGTTTATAATGAAATTTATGCTCACACGATGTACATATTATTCAGGTCAAATGCATACAGTATAGCATATAGTTCCGACAGCAGAATGTAAACGGGTCTAACATTATATGTTATCAAGTAACTGCCATTAGAATCTCTCTTGGTCGCTTCAACCACACTGAGATTCACTTTAAATAGTGTGCATCTGAGTAGGCTCGGAAGTAGTTTTTGAGATCCTTAGTGTAGACGCACAGTCTACCTCAGCAGTTGTTAACCAGATTACTGAAAAGGTTAGAGCAGTTGGTAGATGATCAGGAGATTACTAAATTTTTTACATTGATATATGCAATATTTCCTACTTCAAAAACCTTTTGAGACAGGCGACCAAAAAAGCGGTTAGGCTTGAAAAACCATAAGAACTTGACGTATGAATATCAGATTCAGATTTCAGATTTATTGGTTGAGGATAGAAGGCTTGGAGCCTATGTTAATCCTTTTCTAGTAAATTTGTGTGTTTGTCTAAACCCTTCTTGAACGAATCAGTTGAAGTCGCAGACACCACTTCTTCTGGGAGTCGGTTCCAAGAGTTTATGACTCGGTGTGAGAACCAGTACTCAACAGCAATATGATTTCTTCTTGGCTTTTGAACTCTCCTGCTATGTCCTTTAAGGTGTTCCTACCTGGTGGTAAGGAAAAGAGAGAATAGGTCAGATCTGTAGTCGTTATTTAAAATTTTAAACACTGTGATTAAATCTCCTTTCTGCCTACGGTATGACAGGGAGAAGAGAGTTAAACTCCCCCATAATTCCTCGCTTGATAAGTTGTTCATGTGGAGAACCATACGTGTTGCCTTCTTTTGAACCCTTCCTAGGATGTGAGTCCCCTTTAAGACAAGCACTGGCTGCCTGGATGCAGTTTTCCAGTCTTGACCTCACCAGAGATGTATGTAAGGAGGTGAACATATCTCTGGTGATTCTAGTGAAGGCCCTGCGAATTGCTCGTAAGGACCTGAAACTACATGCAGCCACCGCGCGCCAGTGTGAAGTAGTTTTTAAATCGTGGCTAACAATGACACCTAAATCCAAGTGAGACTGAACTGATGGAAGTGTTATTCCCTCTAGTTCGTAGGAGCTGATGTTTGCTTGTTCAATGCGCATGGTTGCATACAAACAGTCATCAATAAGTGAAATAATTTAAACATTCTTTAACTGAATGGTCAGTCCGTTTTAAAAGAATAAAATGACATTGCAAAGGCGTAGACGAAGCACAAAGTTAGAACAGTGAATTATAACCAAAACAGGGATTTAATATTTTGTGAATAAGATAATCTTCTGAGACTTCAGGATGATTATTATTATTTATGCATAGGTGGTGACAACCACGTAATCACGTGCAAAGTTATTCAGCCGAAATTAGAGAGGTCAAAGGGGCGGACGTTAAGAATTAGTGGGAAAAAAGACGAATAAAATGGTGTCTCGACAGACTGAAGTGCAAGAGTCAGTGCTTACCAAGTTAGTAAGCAGTTGGTAAGTCTCTTTTTTCGCACACAATTCAGGTTTCATTCTCAGGATAGTCACAGCTTCAGTAACTCAAAGTAGTCCTACAGTGCTTTTCCGTTCAACATTTTAGTAGGTTTTACTATGCTGATTCGGTATCCTGTATCAGAAAGGGGATAAGCCATGGCACTTTTAAAGGCTGCTGAACCTCCTAGGCGTAGATTCTTTGGCACACGTCCACCAATCCTTGTAGAAAGCTGTTTCTAAGTTGTTCCAAGGTATTTGCTGCAGCATGTACATGTGATTTTTTGTTAGAGCTTGATTCCACACAGTATTTTGGTACAACTATGGGATTTTCAGCATGTGATATCGGTAGCCCAAATTTAGCAGTCCGACCACTGATATCAGGTGTGCATCGGTGGAGACCGAACCCCGAACCATGTGTGTGGTTAGCAAGCATTGAGACCCGGAAAATGCTCTAATTTGGATTGTGCAGCTAGGCAGTGGTTTTGTACAGGGGTACGAGTTTCGCAGCTGAATACATCAGTGAAGTTGTTTTTTTATTTTCCCGGTAATTCTTCCTCCTATTCCATGACCTAGGGATCCGAAATCGCAGGAAACTGGTTTCTTCTCGACAGTGCTACAGTTCATTTTCCTCGTGTCTCTTTTGATGAACTTCTCTACGGATCGTCTGGGATATCTTTTGTTCCTAAAATATCCATTGATAAGACTGATTTCGTTTCCTTATGTTTCTCCGGACCAAAGCACTTCTGCTCTCTGATGTTGCGTTCTAACCCAACTTTCCTCGTAGTCAGTCACTCTGTGTGGTTTCATGGTGAATGTTCCTTTTTGTCGTTCCGTCTTCTTCTCTCTTCTTTATAAGCCAAGAAAATGTGGTCGCTTACTGACCTACTGTTCCATTTTGAACTTTATGTTTGAATGATCATTGGTGAACTTCCGAGGCAGTAATTCTGCACCATGAGCATCAGTCCAGATTATATGCACGCCTTGAACAAAACATATTTCTCATGGCTGCAGACTCCAAAATAGTATTTTCTCGATGAGATATGAAGATATCAGCCACTTCTGAGACCAATGGGCCCACACTGTTTCTCTGTCCGCTAGCAAATTCAACGCGTTATTGAATTTAATTTGCACATCATCTGCATATGGTAACAAGATATTTATGATATCGTCTTCTGAACAAGAATACTTGCAAAAAAGGATTTCATGTAGTAGGACTTATAATAATAATAATAGTAATTTATATTTCGTATTAACGGGTAAGTTTACAAGAAATGTATGCCATTTTTACAGGCACGATCAGTAATGTTATAAATTACAATCCTGAAGTATCACTAATTGATACTTTTTCAAAAGTTTGAACTGTTCAATTATTGTACAAGCAATCAGAACAGGCTCTTATAAATATCAAATTGTAAACCATTTACTAAGGTCACCATCAAAGTTGAGCGACAACGCAAACTTTGTTCCGTCTCCCGCTGATAGTTATGGTCAACCAGTGAACAGCGTATATCTTGGTGAGTGCTTCGCCGCCACGTAATTGAACGCCATTGCAGGAAGAGAAGAAAATTCTGCCTAGCTGCAAAACGGTATAGAATGCAATTATGAACAATACATCATTGGAAGTATATTTACAAGATAAATACAAGAAGAAGAAACGATATAGTACTAGAAATGATAGTTTACATTTGTAATGTTTAATGCTAACCATATTGGTCTTATCAAGGAAAATATGATGTTTTCGATGAAAATATAGCTTTGTTCAAACATTTGTGTTGCTGTGATTTTAATCAAAGCAACCAAACTTAAGGCAGGCATTAAATATGAACAAATAGCAGGTTTTAGCTTTAGTAATGGTCTAGGTAGTTAACATAAAGTAAAGTATAGTAGTGCCTAAATTGAAAGATCATTGTGAGGTAGGTAAGTGATATTTAAGTGAGAGGTGAATTCCAAGATCTGGAAAATTAGAAGCCGTAGGACAACGACCTGTAAGATGTCTCACGAATTTCTGTAGGGCCCAACGGGTTGCATCTTGACAAGAAGCTGAACAGGCTCGTAGATGTTGGGAGCAAAAGCACTTTTTATTTATAATTTAGATCTGTACAACCCTTATTATTTTTTTGTTGAGAGTCCAGACTAATGTTTAATTCTCCAGCTGTCAAAAAATGCATGTTGGTGTCCTACAGATTGGAGCGATTCACAGCTGTGACCACTACCATATCTGCTGATCAGCATGCGCCACCCTCCCTCCTTAAGAAAGAAAAGAGACACAGAGGTAGTACAATGCCTTGAGGTACACCAGTTTCCGTTAGCAAGAAGGTGGATCAATTTCTGCTTAAAACGGCTTGTTGTTTTCTATCATTGTGATCGAGGACTCAGTGCATGCTGCAATCAGCCTGCTTGACAAAAGAGATGAGGGGATAGAGTCAGAAGCAACAGTGTAGCCCAAAAATGAGGCCCTAACGAGCTTTGTGCTTATATAAGACTTGACACAATATTGGGGCGGGGTACAGCGGCTTCCACGACATTTATACTCCGACTGCTTTGGGTCACTAAAAGATTTAAAAAGTCTAGGAACGTACGAGAGTGGTTTTTACCTAGTTTCCAAGTGTGAAGGCGTGAGGGTGATTGGCCAAAAAATATCTGCCGTAGATGAAATCACATTAGCTTGTTGCATTACAAAAGATCGGTTAGTTGGCTATCTCAGTTGGCGTTAACTGAACCCTTTTTTGCTCGTAAATTGATTAGAAAGTTTTCAAATATTAGAAACGTTCCTACATGATTAAAACTTTCATTATATATCCCATTTAGTCTTCATACTTCAGACCTTGTAAGGGAATTTACCCTTCGAGCATCAGCATTATCATGTGATTTGCACAAATTCGATTTATATGGTTTTTCTTCTAACCTATGTTTAGTTACGCAGAGGAGATCCTATCGAATCTCATGAACAGTGTTTCAGTAAGACAGCAAATATCCAAATAGATCTTGAGATAGGAGGTGATATTAGAGACAGTAACATCTGATACTTAACCACAGAATACATCCTAGTCACTACCATGCAACATACATCTTAATGCTTGAATATTGTCAAGTGAACAGGATTGTCTTTGGAGTTTCTTTGTTAGGTGAACACAAGCCCTTCTGTGTAACCTGCCATACACTCTCAGTAAAGTCCGAACGATGCAGTGGTCAGAATTCAGCAATAAAGACCCCCTTCGCATCTGGTATATGTCACGATCGCTTATGAAAAAAGTCTAGAGTTTTGTCCAGACAAGTATTGAATTTGATAAAATACTCATGACCAAGTGATATGAGAAAGCTGTGATGGCAAGAATTAAAGTCTCCAAAGACTACTTACTGACAAGGAATTCCCAAAAATAGAAGCAGCAAATTCAGTAAATT